AGTGTAGAGTGTAGAGTGTAGAGTGTAGAATGAAGAGTGTAAAGTATAAAGTGTAGAGTGTAGAGTGCAAAGTGTAAAGTGTGTAGAATATAGCTATAGGCGTATTGGAAACTTCAATTCTATATTATTAATGGATTTGCAGGATTAAAATTACAGCTTGAATCCTTTTCCAATTGTTAATAAACTTTTTAAATTAGTGTCTCATCTAAAGCTGGCATGCAATTACAATATACTTTTAAATAAAATACATCAGGAAATGTAACCAAGAGAAGTAAGCTGTACTTTCTGTGTTGTACGAAAGTTGTATAGTTTACATATAAACTATTTTTTAAGAATTTTAATTAGCTTAAATGAAGCTTCTCCNCCCCACGTTCAACTATCACGGAAGATTTGTATTCCAATGCCGACAATTTTTACTACATTAATTCCTATCATTACCTAATCTTTTCCATTTAACCCTTTAATTCTTGGTGTGTGACAGTACATTACTGGTAAGGACCAATTCAGAGGGTTTTTTTTTAAATTCTTCTCTTTTTGAATCTTTTATTTTTATCTCCTTTTTTTGGAACTATGTTTATTTTTTGTTCCTTTATTAGATCTATTTTTTGTTCTTTTTTAATTTTTATGCTCTTTTTTCTCTTTTTTATATTCTAGGCTTTTAGAGTGCATGCCCATCTTCTATTTTAATTAGCATGCATGTTCTCTTTGTATATTTTGTAAAACAAAAACAAAACAAAAAATTTCGCGGATTTTAAAAAGAAAAATCGTGGATTTTTTAGATTTGATGGAATTCAATTTTGGTGGAGGCTAATTTTCGAAATTTTGATCATTCATAAACCTTCCCTGGGGCCGTGTGAAGTCCCACACAAAACTTGGGCCCGATCGGTTCAGCCATTTTGATGTTTATTGGAAACAACCAAACAAACAAACAGACAGACAATGTATAGATATAGACTATAGACGACTAAAAAAGGACAGTAGTATTACACCAAATGAGTCATCTCTTTCTTGTGAGATTATTGTGCCCATAACTTGTAAAGATCAGTTTGGAGAGAAAATCCTGATAAAAACATTCTCTATGTTTCATATCCCCCTTACCACTATGTTATCAATTAAATGTTTGTTTTGATCTCCTCCTAATGCAGTAAGGTTCCTTCCCCCCCCCCTTTCAACCTCACATTCTTCTCCACTATTGCATCCCCCTCCACTCCTTTTCCAATCTTACCCTCCCCCAGCTTTCCGGTTGGCTCTGTAAAACCTCGAACAATAATACAGTAACGATTTTATTCTGTTTTTAAATTCTTGAATGTCGTGCAGTTTCAAATCTTTTAGAATTTAAGTTTTAAAATATTACCAAAATAAGATTCTAATCTATTATCTTTCATTCCTTATTTATACCTAATTGATTATCTATTATCTATAATTTCTTATATTAACCCTATCCCGATTGGGGTATTTTGGTCCATAATAGATAAGGGGGATTGGCGCTCCCCCTCCCCCTCCCCCCTCTTATGGAAAAAGTAAAAAACAGCGGTTACGATTTATTCTATGGTTTCTATGTAGAAGCTTTTACTGTTTTTTTGGGAGGGNATTGATGAATCGGATCATTGTTTTCTACGCTCTATTAAATGTTGGTATAGAGGAGGAGGCTTTGATCCTGCGATTTATCTTTCATGTCCACAGCAGTTTTATTATTATTTTTCTTTGTACAATGATAAACAGAATAACATGGACATTTAGTCGTCTTCGTTAAATTCTGAACTGTTTTAACTCCTCTGAAAATTAGCCCTGAACATAACATAACAGCGAAAAATTAAATATCTTTAGTGAGGTCATGAATAAAAGGTAAAACAAAGACGACTTTCATTCGACTTATTTTTTGGTTTTCACTGTCAATTTGTTTATTAACCAAAACAAATGACTTCCTAGGCTCCTTTATATTTTCAGTATTATCTAAAGGAAATGTTTTTTATTTAGTGTTTTTTTGCTTTTTCTTATTTAAGATTTATTTTGTAATTAATTGTTGAGTTCCTTTGAAAACCTTACAATTGTTTCGAATAAATAACATATATAGTTTAACATTCTCTAATAGATTTCTTGGATCTGATGAAAGATTTAATCGTTATGAAAGGCATTAAAATGGATAATTTAATCTTAAGAAGGATTAAAAAAGGGTTTAAAAGTTATAAAAGGTCAAATGTATTTTTATTTGATCATACTTTGACAAAACATTAATTTTTAAATGAGACAAAGTTTCATAGCTTTCGATAAAGCATTGCTGCTCGTATTCAGTTTCATAACTATCTTAACTTTTATCAATGTCAATATTTTTTACAATTTAAAGATATATAGCTTATTTAAAGCTTATATAAGCCTAACAGCAAATATTTAAAAGTGTATACTGTACTACGTGTACAATGTACTGAGTGAGCATTATAATTTCGCTAAAAACGTTAATTATAAAGGTCCTGGTAAAGTTATTTGATTTTTAATAGCATCAAAATTGTCTTAATGTCGTCTTCCTGAAATTCCGCAATTTTCTACGAAATTGTACGTGTACTGTGTACATCTGAAATATCTGAAATATCTCACCTTTGGCACAAAAACCAGACAGAGAGTGCCTGTAGTACAGAATATGATGAAGACGGAGATAATGATAAAACTGGCGTTCTGGTCCTCGTTCAATACATAGCTCACAGCTACTCCCAGTACACACATTATCACAACGTTGTACACAGACATACCAACATACTTGCTGTCGTTCAAGGCAGGGATCTGTACGTTCCTTGTCTCCCAGGCCAAGAATGCGCCAAATACCTAAAAATTAGTTTTGCTTAATTTAAAATCCGGAATAATTTTATCAAAAAACGGATAAGAAAGTTGTTAAATTCGAAAAAACATGTGATAACCTCTCCNTTAAATGAGAAGACCTAGAGATGATCGATGTTCATTGTTCAATGAACCAATTTAAGATTAAATCCGGCCAATTTTATACAAGTCGGAAACTTTCCACAAAAGTTTTCATCTGAGAACAGGTAAAGCCAAAAATGTAAAGTTAAAATCACAAACCTTACATATCATATAAAAAATATGAGATAAATATTTTTATGTTAGTAAACAGAAAAATATATTGTTTTGATCAAATTAAGCATGATATACTGATATAGACCCATGTTGTTGTTTATGTTTATGAGTAAAAGCATAATTTTTTCAGATGGAAAATATAAGAAGTACTAAAGGTACGTAATACTTGAGGTATAGAATTCTTAGTAGAATTCTTGAACATTGTTATTGTTTAGTTCCTAGCAGTCCAAATATCACAGTAAAATGTGTACACAAACCGTGACCCCTCAACCTTTATTATACATACCTACATATTATACAGCACTGATTTTGTATCAATTGCTTCCAAGTTCACTTTTAAAAGTATCAATACTCTACTATATAGGGTGTTCAACGAAACATTTAAAACTTTTCCCCAACTGTGATGTTTCGTTAGACACCCTTTAGGCTTCAGTAGATTATTGATATTTTTGAAAGTGAACCGCTATTCTTGGAAGCAATTAACACAAAATCATTGCTGTTAAATGTTTCGTGGGACACCCTGTGCATAAGGTTGCACAGAGAAAAAACTAGTTAAAAAATTAGAATTTGTGGCCAGTGTTCTGATACTTTTCTTTTTCACAGGGATTGATACCTGGATTTAATGAAATATAAACAGACTCAGTTGGAACTCAGAGAAATATAAATAGAGAAACTTCATCATAAATTGAATTAACTTCGATAATTAAGTATATATCATTAAGCACGTTTTATGGCATGACAATTCTCAAGATAACGTTCAAGAATTTAAAAATTAAAAAATGTGAAGGACGAGTAGGAATATTCTATAAATATTTGTAGATAGTTGAAAAATTCCGGTTTAAATGTCGGAATGGAATGGAATTTGAGTTGAAACCGATCATTGAAATTATTCCCTCTATAACAAATTTAAAATTAACTGGAATTTCTGCAAAAAAAAATGTTTTTAAAGAAAATTCCTAACAAAGGAAAGCCACAGGATAAAATTTGACAAAGGGCGCGAAGCTTATCTATTTCGTAAAACTTACCATAAGTAGTCCTTTGTAGGCGTAGATTATCCCGACAAATATATGCATATAGTTGCTCTTGCAATACTCGTTCAGAGGGATTATTAGAACATCTACATCTCCATGTGGGCTCTACAATACATAACATAGGCTTTACATTCTACATAGGATTTAGGAGTTCAGAATTCAGAAACAGGATTCAGAAGTTTAGAATTCAGAAACAAGAATTAGAAGTTTAGAATTCAGAAAAATGATTTAAAAGATTAGAATTCAGAAACAGAAATTAGAAGTATAGAATTCAAGAACAGGATTTAAAAGTTTAAAACTCAGAAACAGGGTTTAAAAGTTTAGAATTCAAAAACAGGAGTTAAAAGTTTAGAATTCAAAAACAGGATTTAAAAGTTTAGAGTTCAGAAACAGGATTTAAAAGTTTAGAATTCAGATACAGGATTTAAAAGTTTAGAATTCAGAAACAGTATTTAAAAGTTTAGAGTTCAGGAACAGGAGTTAAAAGTTTAGAATTCAGAAACAGGATTTAAAAGTTTAGAGTTCAGAAACAGGATTTAAAAGTTTAGAGTTCAGAAACAAGATTCTAAAGTTTAGAATTTAGATACAGGATTTAAAAGTTTAGAATTCAGGAACAGAATTGAGAATTTAAAAAAATCAGGAATAGAATTTAGAAGTTTAGAATTAAAAAACAGAATTCAGGAGTTTAGATTTCGGAAACAAGATTTAAAAGTATAGAATTCAGGAACAGGATTTAAAAGTTTAAAATTCAGAAAAGGATTCAGAAACAGGATTTAAAAGTTTAGAATTCAGAAAAGGACTCAGAGGATTAGAATTAAGGATTTTAAATAATCTTTTCATTTAAAAGATTAGTAAAGAATGTTTATTTGGAAAAAATGTTTGGAATTTTTAAACTTGATTTTTAACAAAAACAAATGTGGAGCCAGGAGCAAAATGTCATCCATATTTTGATATCATAGGACATATTGAAAAACTTGATAAGATTGAAAACTAGAAGTTTGATAAACTTCAAACAAACTTTAATTTCCTTTTTCGTCAAAATTTAAATTGTTGGGAAATCTTGATTTTATTCTTCTTCTGCAGTATTTGTTGAAAATAAGGTAAATCCTTGAACAATTCAATAGGATCCAGAATTCCAATAGTTTTCACTTGATTATACTCCAGGACCACAGCCTTGGTATAGATGGATAGGAGGATAGGAGGATAGGAGGATAGGAGGATAGGAGGATAGGAGGATAGGAGGATAGGAGGATAGGAGGATAGAAGAATAGGAGAATAGGAGGATAGTAGGATAGCTAAAGAAAACTTACATAAGGTCTAAGGTCCTCGGTTTTCCTAAAGAACGGATCGAAGACCTGCCAGGTGGTCATGATGATAATATCCATGGTGAGGAGAATACCAACCACCAGGAACAGCTGGGAGTCCTTCATCACCTAAGAGAACATAAATATTTAAACTTAAGAAAAACAAAAATTTAATTTTTAATAGAAATGAACAAAGTGATTGTATCATTTGTTTAAAAATTGCCATGGACAATTTGCATAAGTTCTTTTATCTTTAGCGTTATACGACACTGCAAATTTGATGCATGTAGATTGTAGAGTCAAAGGAAAAGCCAGGCGGATACGGAGAAAATCTGTTTTACATGTCCTACTTTTAATAAAATATTGAAATATAGCTAATCACGGGGCGGAATTAATCTCGGTAATGTACGAGAATAGGGTCGGACGGGTACATTCAGAGATGGCAGTGACGAGAAGCGACACGTTCGTTTTCGTGAATTGTGAAAAAAGATTTTCTAAAATCATGTTTGCTGTATAGTAGGAATACGAGAGTCACATTCTGTGATTACATAAATTCTTTTTTATATTTAAACCTGAACATAAGAATATAGAAATTTCCTACTTTTAAAACTTTTTAATGCTATATTTAATTCTTTAACTTTGTTTGATTTCTAGGAATATAAAAAAGCTGAAAGGGGCTTTTGTTAAAAGTTTCCAAAGACTCTGAAGAAATGTGAACAGAATTTTATTTGAGATTTTTTCTTTTGATCACAAATCCATGTTATGGTAAAATCATACCTTTTCACACAATAGAGATAATGTTCCAAATGGGAATTATTTTTTATCTTTAAAAATCGAAATATATTTTGATTCCGATTGGCCATAAACTTTGTTTGGGTTTATGTCAACATGTTTTGGCCAGATCAGGTCAACCGTTTTGACGTTTTTGGATACACTATAATAGCCAAATTTTATAGAGATTANAACATATCAGGACTGTTGAAATTCTGTAAGAAACCGCAATTTTCTTCATTAAACTTTTCTTCAACAAATCTGCTAATTGAGCTTTTGTTAAGATAATAACATTTTATCCAAAGTAAATGATCATAAAATAAAAACCCCAGATTATTTCAAAATTTGCTGTATAAGCACAGCAACATAAGATTGCTAAAATGTCGTCTTTCTATTCAACAACCTCCAGTATGAATGGTAAATTATTTCCTATTTATAACACTGTTATTTTGGTTCTCAGTGCTATAAAGTCCAAAAACTTTATTGCACGTCGTGCCAAAATAATATTGTTCATTTGTGTACGTGTCTTATGTCAATGGCTATTTCTAGATCAAATAAGATTTGATACAAAGCAGAAGTTAAAATATGAAGTTTATTTCAATTTTATTTTCATTTCAATTGAAAATTTTATTTTTTTAAATATCCGGGAACCAATAAAAAATATTTAGTACACGTGCTACAATGTTCCGCTATAGTTTAACTTCAAAGCACGATAATCACTTTATAGCACGTTCATTATGAAATTCACGATAAAGAGGAAGAATGATTAAGTACACAATAGTTTTATAAAATCATTTATTGTACAATGTACAAACAATGATTACAAGTTAATATTAAGTTTATTTGTTGACTGCTGAAAAGCATTTGATTTGAAATATACTAGTCATGACAGATGATTTCATAGTTTGCACTTGTCACAGATGCATTTATTAATCTTAGACTCACCATTAGGAACACACAACAATGTTGTTGGTTAAAACAAATAAATTAAAATATGCTTCCTTTAAAAACTTTATTAAAATCTCCATGGTTTTATTTGTCTTTTCCCCTTTAAATAACAACTTTTCGTTAGATTAATTATTTCATTTTGGACATATTTCCCAAGTAAACACTTTGTCTTTAAGAGACTGTCATCGTAATTCAAGTGACCCTCCATGCAAAGATGATAATCCCGATTCACATCAGCAACCCTTATAGCTTTGTCTGATCAAGTATTAATTAGACATCAATGTTTTTGTTTCTTGAAACTGTTTATTTTCTATTCCGGTTTCTGCGCGAAGGGAATTTGTGCCATTCATGTTTATTAGAAGCAATGGAGAAGCCCGCAGAAATAAACACTTTACGAATCAGAAAACGACAGTATCCTCCACATGTTTTACAAGATTAAGGTTTCAAGGGTTGTGCATTGACATGTTTGTATAGTAGGTTACTGAAAACGTTTTTAGTTCCTTTTAAGGTTGTATAACCTTTTATTTTATTGTCACTCTTTCCTCACCTTTTTTTTTAAATAAGAAAAATCGATCTTTTTCCTTTGATAAAGTCTTTTAGATAGAACACTAAATGATTTGGCATAGTCGGAAACGCTTTTAAAGCTGCCGGGAACTATAAATGTTAAAATAATGACTACAAATTTCCGTTCAGTCATTTTTAAATCTTATCCTTTGTAGGTAACCATGCAGGTAATCAACATTTATGGATGTAGTGTTTGCTGTTATCTAGAGGTTTAATGGAAATATTAAAAGGGAGCAGGGTCGGAATAAAGAACAGAAAAAGAATGAGAAACTTGAAGGAGAGTTTGAACCCTCTTCAGTGTTAAATATTCATTAGCTAAGTTTGAGAAGAAAATATATAAGAAAGTTTTTAACCACGAAAATATATTCATCCAGAATTCACTACGTAGTGCGCAGTTTTTAAACTTACTTTGGCCTTTTTTCTTATTCCCCCTCCCTTCCCCTATTTTTTCTACCCCCCCCCTCACCTCCCATTTTTTCTACCTTCTGTCTATTTTTCCTCTGTCCTTCTCCACCTTTTCCCTACCTTTTGTCTCTTATTTCTTTTCCTTTTTGCATCCTTCTGTCAATTTTATCTCTTCCTTCTCTCCCTTCTTCATCACTACTGCACGGGCAGCCGTAGTACATTTGAATTTCCGAGCCGGGTCAACCTTTTCAGTCCCAGTTTAAACTGTATCGCCCGGACAGTGGGTAAATAAAGGAGACACGCAATAGGACTAGCCGGTGCAACAAGGTTGACGTGGTCAGACTTTAGGTTGAATTTACTTTTACTGAAGGGTCAGAGGTGCGTGACTGTTTCTCTGTTTAGTCATTCACTTTTTTCTCTTTCCTTTTCCCTCCCTTCTTTCTCTTTTATGTTCTTCCCTTTGCGCCTTTTTCCTCAAACTGTGTCAAATTTATCCTCATTTTCTCTCATTTCTGCCAATTTTATCTCTCTCCTTCTCCTCTTATTTCCTCACTTAACTTTCTCTTTTATCTTTTTCCCTTCTTCTCTTTTTGCCTTTTTTATCTCTCCTTCTTCTATTTTTTACTTCCTTCTGCCTCTTTTTTCTCTTTCCTTCTCCTCTCTCCTCCCATTTGCCTCTTTTTTTTTCTTTTTTTCTGCCTGTATCCCCCCCCCCCCAGTTTCTGTCCCCCATATTTATAAAGTTTTCAACTATCCAAGTTGCATCTCTTCTGCTAGAAGACACATCAAAGAAACTAAAGTTTATGCATTAAATTTTAAACATCCAAAAAAGAAAACTACTTGCTTACCAGACATAAATACAATAAAACTCTTCTTTTGTCTTTCAAAGAAATGTATCTTATAGAACACAACTAAATTTAATAATAACAAGCAAAATTTCTTCTTATTGAAAGATGAAATTGAGCCGCATTCAACAAGGGCAGCTGTAGTTACATTTGAATTTCCGATCCGGGCCAACCTGTCCGTTCCCAGTTTGTACTGTACCTAGCTCTATGGACAGGACTAGCCGGTGTAACAAGGTTGAAGCGGCCAGACTTTATGCTACATATAGGTTGAATTTACTTTTACTAAAGGGGCATGGAGGTGCGTAACAACAGAATTAAAAACATTTTGACGTTCGGAAACATACAAAATAATCTTTAATTCTATTAATATTTAGTAAAAATTAGCCATAACATACATATGCCCCCAAAAAATTAATTTCACTGCATTAGAAATGGTTTTATATTTCACAAAACATTTTAGTTAGAATTTTCTATTTCGTTAGTTATTGTAAACATTAATTAGTTTTGATTATTATTATGAAAATTTTGTTCGTTTAATTTTACAATGTCAAAATTTTGTTGGAAACTGTACAAATTCTGAAGATCGCAATTCCACAAAATTTTAGATATTGTGCCTCATTTTAACATTTTAACCAGAAATTTAGTATTTTAAAACCCGAATTCATTAATCCCCCCTCCCCCCGCCCCCTAACTCGTTCTAATTATATGATACTTCAAGTTTGCGGGGTTTTAAGTTAAGGGCGAAACACCGTAAACAGAATATTTAATATATTTTGCTTATACATTTTTTAAAAGTAGAAGATTTCCATTTAAAACAAAGTAAAATAGCAAACTTGGGTTGCATATTGTACCATGATATATTGAAAATACACATTTCTTTTCGAATAGATGTCATTAAGTTTTAATATCCTAAGATTATAAAAACATCTGGATGGTCTGCAAGGATGTACTGTGCATCTCTTTTCACGCCCCGCCTATTCTTGTATATGAAATCACCGTGTGTATTTTCTAGTGTTATGAGTTGACAATAGGGCGCTAGAGGAAGAATAAATGGTGTATTTCTTTTCTTCTTCTTTTCAGCCATTAGATAAGAATATAAAAGCTTTGTTGCAAGAATACATAATTTTGAATATTTATATATATATAGACACAATTTCAACACTAGAAATATGAATATTGAATAGTGACTTAGGGATAAAGATAATATAAAAGAACAAGATTGGTGGCCAGACTCAAATGACAAAGCAAAAAAAAACAGAAATAAAATAATGAACAGGTTCAGAATTTCAAGTCAACAAACGAGAAAAGGGAATAATATTTGAAATAATGCTTGAATAAATTTGAAATATGAAAAATTGGAAAATTTGAGTTTGTGGCAAAACTCAATACTTTTAATCCTTAAATATACAACTAAGCGTTAATCACATGAAGAGCAAGTTGTCATCAGCTGATTAAATTGATTTAGCAATTTGGAGCAGCTGATCTTAATATCTTGGTTACCCAAAGTCAGAATAGCTATGATATCTGTATTGTAAACAAATATTTTTTCCCTATTTACAATCTTATACGTGGAATTCAACGCATCCATTCAATTTTGATCCGGATCCTGGATCTGTTCAGGAAAAATATCCGGATCCTGGATCTGTTCAGGAAAAATATCCGGATCCTGGTTTTTTTCTCGCAGTTTTCGGTTCAAACTTTGCCCCTTGGATCCGGATCCATAAAGCCAAAATCTTGCGAATCCAACGGATCCGGATCCTAAGCACTACGTTGAAGTAAAAAAAAGAATGACGTCTGTTGGTCAGTTCCTGATTCTACTGATTTAAAATAAAGGAATAACGGGAATATTTAATATTCAAATTTCTAAATAATCTCAATATTTGCAGATTTCTCCAATATTTTACATATTTAGCTTTTTATTTGAAAATGTGAAAAAAGGGCTCTTTGGTTCTCGTAAACCGCTGCTCAAATATTTCAACTCATGAGTAAAAAATAAAAGAATAGGTACGAATAAAATGGATTAAAAGTGAAACAATGAATTAATTTTAAAAATACAAATAATATAAAAATTTACCTTTTTGTTGAGTTGAACATTAGTAAAGATGGAATGAACTCTCCAGGTTTTTGAGAACATAGATCCAAAAGATAAAGTGAACCCTGACATTAGAATCCAGGCTCGTCCAGCGCATATGTACGGAAACGCGGCCTACGCACATCATATTCATGCATCTGGTGTATTTTCAAATTTTAAAGGAATGAAGTCTTTGCAGCAAACTCATATTTTCTAATTTCTATATATTTGCAACTTCATGCTGTACATTTCATACTAAGATTATTTGATCTAACATAATTTATAGGTAGTTTGAAATATCTAAGGTCTACGACATTGGTTTGCAAAGATATATGTATCAGAAAATCATAGTGTGTGGCAAGACTAAAATACGTCAATAAATTCTTTAGAAATATTTGAGAATATATATGGGTTAGGGTGTTAAAGAGTGTAGAGTGAAGAGTGTAGAGTGTAGAGTGTAGAGTGTTGAGTGTAGAGTGTAGAGTGTAGAGTGTAGAGTGTAGAGTGTAGAGTGTAGAGTGTAGAGTGTAGAGTGTAGAGTGTAGAGTGTAGAGTGTAGA